AAACTTAAATATGAACAAAAAAAATAATTTGAATAACTCGTAACCAAATTTCTACTCAGATTTTGGTCAAAAAATTACCCACATTATTTTATGCCCATATTTAGGTATCGTGTGACAATTTTATGATAAAAAATCGTCAATAATTTAAATATTGTTTGTTTGAGAGACCACATAAAATCATATTTAATACTTCAAAGACTAAAATATTAGAAACAAAAATGAGATAAACTATATACTTTGGGGCTTTCAGTGCAATTAACCCAATTTTTTTAAAAAATAATGGTTTGCATTTGTTATGATCAGTACTACCAACAGGACGTGTACAAGAGTGGAGGGAGGAAATTTGGTATTCTTAGCGTGCTGCTTTTGGGTTGTATACCAAGCATTAAGGCACTCAAACCAGGAAAAAACTGCATGGCAGAAGTCACGGACTCAGCGAAGCTACACAACAAGGCACTTTTCGAAAACCTCAAAAACCTAGAGAAGCACTTTGAAAGGATTTATGTATTCTTATTTCGATGTCTACACTGCTACAAGTGACAGAATGGATAATCCATTAAAATATGGTATGTCATGCACACTTTGTCTTATTAATATCTAGGGTTTCAACTCTGATATGTTTTTTTGGATTTGACTCTTCTACCATTAATTTTTAACAGGAGACGATGTTGTTTTAATCAATAACATATCTGCTGTTAATTTTCTAATAGCAGAAAATGCTCACCTTGTTTTTGGGCCTGATTGCTACATCACATGCTTAATTAGTGGGATAAATGCATTCAAGGGTGAATCTACAGTGGGGCAATGGGGGACAATTGCCCCCGCTATAATTTTTAAAACATGTGGGGTATATTTACAATTTCAAAAAATTTAAGACATTGCCCTTAATGAAATATTATAAAAGTTCATGGGTATGTTTGTATTTTACAAATGCGGCGTCATTTGTCTTTGACAGACTTTTAGCCGTGGGCCCATATATCTGCATGATAACATTGGAATTTTTTATAAAAACAATAGAAAATTATGGAGTGATTCTACTTCCTTAAAAATATGAATCGATCTTGGCCGTTCATATACTTAATTTTTTAGATTTAATAGTTTTAAATGAAATAAAAAATTAATTAATTATAAACAAATTTGAATAGACGATTAGATTAGGGAATATGCCAACAAGGGTCAATTTGGATCATATATAATTTTTTTTTCCAAGAGCAACAAAATATTTTTTATTTAGATAAATCTGAGAAGTTATTTTTTGAGATTTTACAATTGATCTTGAATTAAAATAATCGATTTTAATATTTAGCATTGATTTCAAGTATCTTAAAATTATAATTTTGTAGAATTTTTTTATCTTCTTTGGAAAAAAACTCAAAAATTTATATAACAACCCACAAGACTTATAAACTCCACCACCGTAATCTCTTTGATATCAAAGTTGAATTCTAACTCTAAATATCATTCATAAATATGACACAAAATTAACGAATAATTAAATTGTCCCACAACTAAAACAGTCTGGCTATAACCCTGCATGCATTAATTTATATATAACANACATTGGAGGTCCCCAAAGTATAGAATTTGTCTCATTTTGACTCCCAATAGTTTAATTGCATTATTTTAGTCATTAGAGTATTGAATATATTTCTATGTGGTCCCTCAACCAGACAGCATCCAGAATTGATCCATCTTTGCATTTTCCTTATTCAAACTCTATTGTTTATTGTACGTAATTTAATCTTGGTTTAAAACGCATCATTTTTAATTACTATAATAACTTATTTCCAAAACACGCAGTCTGTTAACGACGTATTTTTCAAACAAGTTTTTTCTTGAAAATTTCAAAAAAAATTGAATTAATTACATTGGAGGTCCCCAAAGTATAGAATTTGTCTCATTTTGACTCCCAATAGTTTAATTGCATTATTTTAGTCATTAGAGTATTGAATATATTTCTATGTGGTCCCTCAACCAGACAGCATCCAGATTACTAATGATTTTTTTATTATAAATTTATCACATAAAACTTAAATATGAACAAAAAAATAATTTGAATAACTCATAACCAAATTTCTACCCAGATTTTGGTCAAAAAATTACCCACATTATTTTATGCCCATATTTAGGTATCGTGTGACAATTTTATGATAAAAAATCGTCAATAATTTAAATATTGTTTGTTTGAGAGACCACATAAAATCATATTTAATACTTCAAAGACTAAAATATTAGAAACGAAAATGAGATAAACTATATACTTTGGGGCTTTCAGTGCAATTAACCCAATTTTTTTAAAAAATAATGGTTTGCATTTGTTATGATCAGTACTACCAACAGGACGTGTACAAGAGTGGAGGGAGGAAATTTGGTATTCTTAGCGTGCTGCTTTTGGGTTGTATACCAAGCATTAAGGCACTCAAACCAGGAAAAAACTGCATGGCAGAAGTCACGGACTCAGCGAAGCTACACAACAAGGCACTTTTCGAAAACCTCAAAAACCTAGAGAAGCACTTTGAAAGGATTTATGTATTCTTATTTCGATGTCTACACTGCTACAAGTGACAGAATGGATAATCCATTAAAATATGGTATGTCATGCACACTTTGTCTTATTAATATCTAGGGTTTCAACTCTGATATGTTTTTTTGGATTTGACTCTTCTACCATTAATTTTTAACAGGAGACGATGTTGTTTTAATCAATAACATATCTGCTGTTAATTTTCTAATAGCAGAAAATGCTCACCTTGTTTTTGGGCCTGATTGCTACATCACATGCTTAATTAGTGGGATAAATGCATTCAAGGGTGAATCTACAGTGGGGCAATGGGGGACAATTGCCCCCGCTATAATTTTTAAAACATGTGGGGTATATTTACAATTTCAAAAAATTTAAGACATTGCCCTTAGTGAAATATTATAAAAGTTCATGGGTATGTTTGTATTTTACAAATGCGGCGTCATTTGTCTTTGACAGACTTTTAGCCGTGGGCCCATATATCTGCATGATAACATTGGAATTTTTTATAAAAACAATAGAAAATTATGGAGTGATTCTACTTCCTTAAAAATATGAATCGATCTTGGCCGTTCATATACTTAATTTTTTAGATTTAATAGTTTTAAATGAAATAAAAAATTAATTAATTATAAACAAATTTGAATAGACGATTAGATTAGGGAATATGCCAACACGGGTCAATTTGGATCATATATAATTTTTTTTTCCAAGAGCAACAAAATATTTTTTATTTAGATAAATCTGAGAAGTTATTTTTTGAGATTTTACAATTGATCTTGAATTAAAATAATCGATTTTAATATTTAGCATTGATTTCAAGTATCTTAAAATTATAATTTTGTAGAATTTTTTTATCTTCTTTGGAAAAAAACTCAAAAATTTATATAACAACCCACAAGACTTATAAACTCCACCACCGTAATCTCTTTGATATCAAAGTTGAATTCTAACTCTAAATATCATTCATAAATATGACACAAAATTAACGAATAATTAAATTGTCCCACAACTAAAACAGTCTGGCTATAACCCTGCATGCATTAATTTATATATAACAGTATATCTATGGCATTAATTAATTAATTGGTACATCAATATATATATATATATATATTATTGTGATGATCATGTAGGTTTCAAGGAAGGGAAGATCGCATGCTGTGGGACCGGACCTTACCGCGGGGTTCTGTGTTGTGGAGGGAAGAGAGAAGTAAAGGAGTTTGAATTATGTGATAATGCTATTCAGTATTTGTTCTTCGACTCTACTCATCCTTCTGAAATTCCAAACCACCAATTGGCACACCTAATGTGGGGCGGCGGCAGCGGAGGCGGAGGAGGAAGAGGACTACTCCCCAATGTCACGGGGCCTTATAATCTCAAATCACTATTTGAAATTACGCTTGAGCCATCGATCGAAGAACCATAATCTCAAGTTATATATGGTTGTTTAATTTATGCCTATTATTTAGTCTCTTGTATAAAAGGTTTCTAATTGCCTCATTCAATATGATATATGTATCGATAGAAATAATAATCTTAATTCATTATCCATTAATCCGTTTAACTCATTCATAAATAAATGTGTTGGGTAATATGATTCATTTTAATTAAACGGATTAATATGAATTACAAATGAGTACTCTTTGGGTTGAATATTTAACTTTATATTAAATAATATAAGTAATAAAATTAAATAAATATACTAATATACCAAAAAATATACACGTACATACTAAAGGTACGTTTAGTAACATTTTCGTTTTTATGTTTTCAAAAAAATAAAAAACAGAATCAATATTTTATTTTTTTGTTTTTTTTTTGGTTAAAAGTTGAAACAAAAAACGGGTTTGGATGTAGTTGTTGTTTTACGAAATCTAAAAACTAAAACAAAAAATATTTTTGATAACCATTTTATTTTATGTCATATATTTTATATTTATTTTGATTCTTGATAAACCATATCCACATAATTATATGTCAATACATACATTAACTCATAAAACAGTGCATAATCCATCAACCCAAAATAAAAGTTGTTAAACATCCAATGTATCACTGCATAAAGATATTGTTAATATTCTACCAAATACACAAATACACCATAATTATTTCACTAAAATCTCATTAAGTAATACNATTTAGGTATCGTGTGACAATTTTATGATAAAAAATCGTCAATAATTTAAATATTGTCTGCTTGAGAGACCACATAAAATCATATTTAATACTTCAAAGACTAAAATATTAGAAACGAAAATAAGATAAACTATATACTTTGGGGTTTTCAGTGCAATTAACCCAATTTTTTTAAAAAATAATGGTTTGCATTTGTTATGATCAGTACTACATGTGTTTTTGTTGTTGGTTTCCCAAACAGGACGTGTACAAGAGTGGAGGGAGGAAATTTGGTATTCTTAGCGTGCTGCCTTAGGGTTGTATACCAAGCATTAAGGCACTCAAACCAGGAAAAAACTGCATGGCAGAAGCCACGGACTCGGCGAAGCTACACAACAAGGCACTTTTCGAAAACCTCAAAAACCTAGAGAAGCACTCGAAAGGATTTATGTATTCTTATTTCGATGTCTACACTGCTACAAGTGACAGAATGGATAATCCATTAATATGGTATGTCATGCACACTCNAGTATAAAAAGTGTAATCTATTTCTTCTCTCCTTCCTAAATTGGCATGCGGGATCACAATTTTTGATTCATCTTTGTGTGTATCGTACTCATCAACCCAAATGAAACAATCAGCATGATCATGCCATCTTTGACAACAATAAAAAAGGTGACATTTGTTTCTTTTTGTCTGCGCAACGAAAACATTCATATTATTACATCTACATGAGCATGAAGGTTCAACTGGTGTCATTATATGATTCATGTTTCAACAACATGAATTATGACAAATTAGACATGATACTTTGTTCAACATAATATTGGAAGTTAAGAAAAAATATAATATCATTCTAAGTAAAACATATATTAATGATAAGTTGATACCCACAATTGATCTGCAATGCCATCTCAAATATGAGTCATTTCACGCAACTGACTCAACGTTATATCTATTTCAATTGGTGCTTGTGAACTAAATCCTGTACCACCTTACCATCATCAACATCGTCTCTTTTGTTCAAAGTCAATAAACAACTGATCTTATGGAGGGTGATTTTNAAATCTCATTAAGTAATACAAATATTAAGAACAGTAATGCACAACACATAATGAAATTGCATCCACAACAAGTAAGTATAAAAAGTGTAATCTATTTCTTCTCTCCTTCCTAAATTGGCATGCNTAAAGATATTGTTAATATTCTACCAAATACACAAATACACCATAATTATTTCACTAAAATCTCATTAAGTAATACAAATATTAAGAACAGTAATGCACAACACATAATGAAATTGCATCCACAACAAGTATAAAAAGTGTAATCTATTTCTTCTCTCCTTCCTAAATTGGCATGCGGGATCACAATTTTTGATTCATCTTTGTGTGTATCGTACTCATCAACCCAAATGAAACAATCAGCATGATCATGCCATCTTTGACAACAATAAAAAAGGTGACCTTTGTTTCTTTTTGTCTGCGCAACGAAAACATTCATATTATCACATCTACATGAGCATGAAGGTTCAACTGGTGTCATTATATGATTCATGTTTCAACAACATGAATTATGACAAATTAGACATGATACTTTGTTCAACATAATATTGGAAGTTAAGAAAAAATATAATATCATTCTAAGTAAAACATATATTAATGATAAGTTGATACCCACAATTGATCTGCAATGTCATCTCAAATATGAGTCATTTCACGCAACTGACTCAACGTTATATCTATTTCAATTGGTGCTTGTGAACTAAATCCTGCACCACCTTACCATCATCAACATCATCTCTTTTGTTCAAAGTCAATAAACAACTGATCTTATGGAGGGTGATTTCGAATGAAGTTATGAATTGTATGANCAAGTATAAAAAGTGTAATCTATTTCTTCTCTCCTTCCTAAATTGGCATGTGGGATCACAATTTTTGATTCATCTTTGTGTGTATCGTACTCATCAACCCAAATGAAACAATCAGCATGATCATGCCATCTTTGACAACAATAAAAAAGGTGACCTTTGTTTCTTTTTGTCTGCGCAACGAAAACATTCATATTATCACATCTACATGAGCATGAAGGTTCAACTGGTGTCATTATATGATTCATGTTTCAACAACATGAATGATGACAAATTAGACATGATACTTTGTTCAACATAATATTGGAAGTTAAGAAAAAATATAATATCATTCTAAGTAAAACATATATTAATGATAAGTTGATACCCACAATTGATCTGCAATGTCATCTCAAATATGAGTCATTTCACGCAACTGACTCAACGTTATATCTATTTCAATTGGTGCTTGTGAACTAAATCCTGCACCACCTTACCATCATCAACATCGTCTCTTTTGTTCAAAGTCAATAAACAACTGATCTTATGGAGGGTGATTTCGAATGAAGTTATGAATTGTATGACAAGCTATGGACAGATATTCTTGTGTGGTTATGGGATAAGGTGGCATTAATTCGAGAATGGAAAAACGAGCCTTCAAAACTCCAAAGCAATATTCAATTACATTTCGAAGTAATGAGTGACGGTAATTGAACAACTTCTCTTTGTCTAATCAAGACATAGGTTGGGGCTGAACTTCATTTTAATCATGAGCTAGGATCTTTTTCCTTTCAAGTAAGCAAGTAAGCTTTGAGGTTTATGGTTGTCTGATTGGAGTGATAGGACATCTTTCTAGTCACTGTGTGACAGTGCAAGCGTAGGCCGTATTAGACGTTTTATCTTTTAGGAAACACCACTTAGAGGGCTCCACGTCAAGTTAGAGACAAGTGCATTGATTACTGGTGATAAGGACGAACCGTCACTCCCTAATCCATTTAAATTCTTCGTTTCCTATTAGAGCTTTTTGTTTTGCCTCTTTTTCTTGTTTTCCCTTTTTTCAGTGTGTTCGAAGTTTTCTACAAGGGGAAACTCGATAGGAATAAGAACTTTGAAGATCGAGGGTATGATTCTTCGTTGTCGTTGTGCTCTGTGTCGATGCTTAGGTCTTTCCTCAATTCCTCTATAGTTTTCGTCGATTAGGTACATTTCCTTCCCTCTTTACATACAATCTGGGTCGATTTTTGACCTGTGNTTCTTGTTTTCCCTTTTTTCAGTGTGTTCGAAGTTTTCTACAAGGGGAAACTCGATAGGAATAAGAACTTTGAAGATCGAGGGTATGATTCTTCGTTGTCGTTGTGCTCTGTGTCGATGCTTAGGTCTTTCCTCAATTCCTCTATAGTTTTTGTCGATTAGGTACATTTCCTTCCCTCTTTACATACAATCTGGGTCGATTTTTGACCTGTGGTGGTGGTGGTCTCAAGGCCTTCACTTCCTAGTGTTTCAATTTTGCTACTTTCGAAGTTTTGGGAAACCTTTAATCTTTCTCTCTGCCTTTACTAACCAAGCAACGACATCTAGGGTTTCTCTTCTTTGCGATTGGTGTCTAGATCTCCGNAATCTTTCTCTCTGCCTTTACTAACCAAGCAACGACATCTAGGGTTTCTCTTCTTTGTGATTGGTGTCTAGATCTCTATTCGATTTAGGATTTCTCTTTGAGTGTTCTCCAACTTTATTCCAGTTTCATCTATAAGGATTTTCGAGCTGTTAACATGTCTGTTTCCTCTTCTATTATAGGTTCCTCTATTTCTACCCTGTCCAAAAGCTTTGGTGATTCTGGGGTTGAGCTTGCTTCCCAAAAAGAAAGTCACATGGAAGAGGATGAGAATCTCTTAGTAGATAATTCCATGGCCATCACTTATTCCGATGAGATTTCTTCTCGGTCATTTGAGATTCATCATCTTGAGCCATCTCGGCTAGGATGAAATTGAAGGGATCTCATGGGAAGATAAAATCTAAAAAAAAAAAGATTTTCTCCTCCAAATAGGTCTGCCTCGGTGTCTGAGTGCGACATTAATCGCTAGTCATATAATTGAGGATACAACTCATGAGGTTTCAGAGCTTTACCGATTTCTTATGGGTTTTGAGATATTCATTCTCACTAATGCTAATTGGTACAATATATATCTTTCGGGGAAAGTATGTTTCTTTGTGTTGGCCTTTGAGGCTGGGCTTAGGTTCTCCATGCACTTTTTCATCCTGTATGTGTTTTGCTTCTTCAATAAATGCCCTTCTAGGATGTCCCCCAACGGCTATGGTTTGTTGGTAGGTTTGTTTATATTCTAGCACGACAACTGTCTTAGATTTGCTCCCACTATTTTCAAGTTTCTTCATTTCTTTCATTTGAAATGTTCTCCCTCTGATGTTTTTTCTACTTCACCAGCAGAGTCAAAGCGAAAAGCTTAATCGTTGGGACCTTGACCTCTCATAAGGGTTGGAGTGAACTCTTCCTTTTTGTTTCTAGTGATGCTTGGGAATTCGAGGGGCCCTCTCCAGATACTCCTCACGTTCCACGGCTCTAGGACGAGCCTAAGAACTTGGGTGAGTTTTTGTTGTCTAGAGGTTTCTGTTTTTTTCCTTTTCTAATCATAGTTTGTTTCATGTTTTAACATACAGGGTATATACCTATATTGACTCGATCTGAGGAACTTCAAGTATCATGCTGAAGAGTGTGCAATGAAGGAATACAAAGAGCTCATAACTCCAGAAACCTTGCCAAACTTGTCTTGGCCCTCCATTTGCTAGAGCTTTGCTTGTTTTGATTAAGGAAACCCCCCAAATAGAGGGTATTCTTACTAATAAGCCTTTGTACTTTCACTATTTTTGTTTCATGTGATTATCTGATATCAGTGACATTCTTCTTTTTCAAATTCACCCACAATGGCTTCCAAAAAAGACCTGGTGAATGAAGTTATTTCCAAACAAAAAAAGGCTAGGGCAAGATCAAGAAACAAAAACATTCTACTTCTGATGTTGATCCCCTTTCAATTGGAGGGGTTAAGCCTTTTGATCCTATTCGCGAAGAAACTGTTGGACTCGAGGTTGTCCCTTTGGAAGACCAAGAAGCCCCAGTTGCAAATCCACTTAAAAAGATTGGGGTTCTTCCGAAGGAAACTTTAGGGGATGACCCCTCTGTTCCTATACCTCCTAGGCCCTCCAGCTTTTCCTCTTCATATGTTCTTACCAGGGACTGTTCTTTTTTCTCCAATGCCTCCTTGGTCGTTACTCGGTTGCTAGCCTGGGGTTGTTCTCGGGGATTCATTAGTTGGTGATCATCATCTCATGACACGAATCTTTTTGGAAAGTCTTTCCGGATGAGTTATTCTATTTTTTTTCAACTGAAAACAATCATATGTGGTTTGTTCATGTCTTTCTTGCGAGGCTCGGATCACATCTTCGATGGCCATTTCACGTACTTTTTGTTCTAAACCTGGTGCAAGAACTGAGCCACAAGGGCGTTTAAGGGAGTGAACTATCATGGAGCTAAATGTGGTTGAAACTCTGGCTTTAGGGGATCTAAACGATCTCGAATATCCCTTTTCCTTTTGGGCGATCGATCCTAGTTTTTCTTAGGGTCGAAGGAGTCCTTCCTTTTTCTATCTTTCTGGCCATTCAACGCAACTAAAGAGTCATGTCTCACTTGAAGGACTTCTTTTTCGTTGATATATTTCTCTGCCTTGGCCGATACCTCTGCCATGCTAGCACGGGAATTTTTGGAAACGAAGAAGAGGCAGTCTTCTAACTGGAGCCCAAGTCATGTGATAAAGGTGGTGAAGGCCACCTTATTGTCCAAGCCATCTACCTGAAAGGATTCCTGATTAAATCATTATACGTAGCTCCTGAGAGATTTATTTGATCTCTGTTTTATGCTGAAGAGGTATGAGGCTGGCTTCAGGTTAATCCTTGTGCCGATGAAATAAGAGACAAATTGAAGGTACAATTCTTTGAACGATGAAATCGAAAATGGGGATACCTGATTATACCAAGCTAGAGTTGAACCCTTGAGGGTAATAAAGAAGGATCTACATCGAATTGGATCCTAACAATTATATAATTCCATTTGATTCTTGTAGGAATTGAGGTGGTCGAATGGATCTTGCGTTCCATCAAATGTTTCAATCTGTGGCATCTGAAACTTCATGGGAAGAGGAAAATTTAGAATCTCTAGTGCTAGTGAGGATTCAGTTTGTTATACCAAAGTTTCCATTGATATCGAGGCCCTGTTTTTTGTGATGTCTCTGACGTTCCCCAACTCATTCTGAACCTTCTTGATTTTCTCCTTCCAATAGCGATTCTAGAGATTCTGATGGAGAAAGAGTTGAGGATTATGCCTCCTCTCCTCACTGGCTCTTCTATGGGCTTTTTCTTCGAGATTTTTGCTGGCCTTAATGATGGTTAACTTTTTCACCGAACTCACTCTGTTGATCTTCTTCCGTAACCCCCTTGAGATGTTGTGGGGGTGGAGGAGGTAGAGGCGGTGGATTTTGTCTAACTTCAAGTTGTTGAGTAGTGAGAATCGCCATGAATCATTGGTTTTCCCTAAGGATACGCATCATGGTTTGTTGATAAGTTTTAGGGCCCTCTGCTTGAGAGAGGTCCGCCGCCGGAGGAAGGGGCAAAAGAGGGACTCATTGTTGATTCTACATGTTTAGAGTCATATTTCTGGTAGTAACTATCAATCAGTTTTACTCAGAAAGAGGGTTTTTGGAGTAGGATGAACACAATCGTTCTCATAGATGACGCTAAACTAATGGATCTTAATTTACAAGAACATGAGAGAGAAAGGGATTTAACGTAAATATTGATGTGTCCAGGGATAAATGCAGTGGCCTTAAACTAAATTAATAGCATAAAGTAAACAATACAAGAAGTGAAGTGGTTCACTAGCTAAAATGCTTAACTAATCCATTGTAATAGAGTCTTTTATTCTGAGGATTTTTAGTACTCTATGAGGATGAAGATGATTACAATTCTCTTGAGAGTATATTTGCACATTCTTTGGACAAGACAATGGTCTGCCTATTTATACATTAAGATATTATGGTCCTTATGTAATGATGGTGTGGTCTTCCAATCTGTTAGGATATTGGAGAGAATATTGTGCTGTTAAAAACTACATTCCCTAGTCACGACATGGCCTTCTAGAAGTAGATGATGTAGCACTAATAATCCTATCTTTAGGAGAGGTCTGGGCTTGAGAGGTACTCTTCGTCCCTCTTCCTCCGATTGGTCCAAGTCATTTTAATTTGCGAAACGACTCTTTGATCCCGACTTGTGTCTTATCTGAGTTGACATGTCTTTTTCTTTCTGTGCTCTCGAGAAAAGTCGTATTTGAAGATGATTTTATTTTTAATATAATCAATAATCATATATTTTTTTTTAAAAAAAAAAAGGGAAAAAAGAGTACCGCATTGATCCAAAGGTCAAAATCACCGGTGGAGTATTTATTGGTTTTTAAGTAACCATCTTTTATCTTCTGTGTTTGTTTTTCTAATCAGGAGCCAGCCATCATTATTTTTTTAATCATTATATAAAGTTCACATTTTTCACACGCCCAACACGCATGAGTTGCCCATCCACTTGACATCGATGGAGGATCCAAGAAGTTACTCAATCTGACATGATTAAAAAAACCAAAAAGTCTATTCTTGACCACTTCTTCCACCTTCTCAATTATTTCCCCCCTCCCCCTCCCCCTCCTATCGTTTCTTCAAAACAAAGTCACGAAAACAAGGAATGCTATTGCCAACTAGAAATAAATAAAAAAAAAAAAAACCAAAGTGGAAAAAAAGTATTCTATTCAAAAAAAAAAAAGTCATTCAAGAATATTTTTAATGATAATAAATATTTATATAATAAAATAACTTACAATTTAAATCTCAAAAAATAAATAAAATAATTTTTACTATTCGTAGTTGAGATCACTTTAAATTAATCTAACGGCTAATATTAACATCCTAAATTTAATAGGAATAATAGACCCCTAAGAATATTTTTGAAATGACTTTTTAAAAGTACTTTAAAAAATATTTCTCATAAATATTTTTTTAAAAAAAAGTTTGAAACCCGCCTTACCACTGCCGTTATTACCACCACCGCCGTCACCACTGCCACCGCCATTGTTGTCACCGTCATCATTACTGTCACCTCCACAATCATTGCTGCCGCCACCCTTGCCGTCGTCGCTACCACGGTCATTGTCACCCACCACAACTTTCACTGTCTCCTACCACTATCACTGTCTCCTACCATTATTACTGTCGTCCACCACTTTTCATTTTCATTGCAAATTAATGCTTAATTTTTTTTTATATTTATAATTTAATTTTAGATATGAATATAAATATATTTTATTATTTTTTATTTTTTATTATTTTATACCTTCGAACACAAGTAATATGATAATAAATTTCAATGTGAACCAGTGCTCATAGGTGGGCTCTCCTTCTTACACTATACGTAATTTATTATTGCAAGATGAAAAAAAAAACATATATGAGGAGATCCGGGTATCTGCAATAGACGCGTCGTCAACTTTTTATGACCCCGTGTTATATTTAAATTGTATAATGTTAAAATTTATTTAATTCATTTTAAGTGTAGAGTTGAGTTTGTAGGTGGCATAGAGGAAAATAGGTTACATCACTTTCTTGTGCGCCTCTCTCTCTCCCAATAATTGTGTCTGACCAACCATGCCAGAGACACGTAGCATTGATGTCGGCTCGTGATATAAGACAAAGGGTCCCAAGTTTCACGTGATCATGATGAAACGTCGCCGTTGAGACACGTCACCCCCTCTTAGCCTTGTGCAGTTTTCTTCTGGGTGTAGCGGTATTTCACACTCGCAAGTCATTCTTCTCCGTTCGGATCAAATTGAATGGCATCTGATTCACTTCTAGGTGTTCTGGTCCCACCTGTATTTAGCGTATGAATGTGTGTTCTCTGGAAAGAATATAATAAGTGGCCATCGCACTGGCACATTGGAACTGGCAGGTACAACTAATTGATGATTGGCCAACTCGAGCCTTTATTATGTTTGTTTGTTGGACGTGGAACATCAAATTTGTCTAACTATTCATTTTTTTTTTTTTGCTTTTTTTTCCTATGATTTAAAAAAATATTTTTAATTATCAAAAAACATTAATTTAAAATATGTACACTTACTGCACTGCAACGCATCCGTCAAACTTTGAGTTTTTTATGATAAAAATACTTAAATTTGGTGCGAACGAATTTTTCTTAACGCCCCTAATTGGTCCTATGAATATTTTTTTTTCTTATTCACTCGAATTGACATTTTGAATAGAAGGCAGCTCATCCTGCTTAATTACTTACCACTCGAGAGTAAGAGAGTATTTCTTGCTATAATTCTCAAATGACAGGGTCCGTTTACAGCGATATTACACCAACTGTCATTTCTAATTCTGGACTTGAATCCAAAAATTTTCGCAAACTAGATTTGACTCTACAAAGAGAATGTGTCAAAAGATGCAAATAAAATTATTCAAATAGCAAAGAAACTCTTTTTTCTTAAAAAAGAAAGCATTTTTTTCTAATTAACTCATAATTTTTTTTCTATTTTTTGGCATTTCAACATTTCTATTAAGTTAATTAATGTCTTTAAACTCCCGTTTTCGTTTGTAGATGTTGTTGTGTATCGAGTTGTTTTAAGTTTCTTTTATTATACCGGAAAGATTAATTTTGAAACCAATTTGTTATGTATAAAAATAAATTATTTTTCACCACTAAATGTTTGTTATCTTTATTGTGCCGCATGAAGAGAAATGGAAATATATAAAAAAAAAAAAGAAACACAAGAAAAATGAGTCAATAAACCAACTCATGGCCTCCTTTCACGTGGACATAAAAAGGGAGGAAAAATATAAATTACTGAAAAAAAAATACTGAATTTGAATAATGACATCATCAATCATTGCTAAAGTAGTCATTCAAGTGTTAACCATTAAAATGGCTTTCCAAAAATCCCTTATTTTATGACAATAATGGAAATATAAGCCCTTGCCATTTCATTGTTAAATGCAATAATTGAGGCATATAGGTATATTCGCAAGGTAGGTGGAGAATTCATATCATATTATATTTCATTTCCTTTATTATATTCTTTACTTAGTGAGCTTAATAATTTTAACAAATTAAAAAAAAATCACCCTTGTAGACCCGGATACAAACTTAATACGACAACTTTTGTAATTTCCTTCCTAAAGATTTATATTTAGTGTAGTTTGTTTTGAAATAAATTATTTGATTCCTATTTATTTTTCAAAAAAAAAAATGATTTCCTCTACATTACGCCATAACTCAATGNGTGTAGTTTGTTTTGAAATAAATTATTTGATTCCTATTTATTTTTCAAAAAAAAAAAATGATTTCCTCTACATTACGCCATCACTCAATACCCATTGAAACGAATTGAATTTGACATTTTAACACCAGATGCATCTTAATTATAATTATGTGGCATAAAATTGAATAAAAGTTATTTGTATTTGGGTTTAAAAATTTCTTAAATACATAAAAATTTCTCTTTCGTCTTGTCTTTGTCTCAATTCTAATCGATTTACTTCTTTCTTCGTGCAAGCGCTCGATTTGCTCTTTTGAGGTGTAGCATTTTTTTATCCTTAACTTCAATTTGTATTTTTAGGATAATAGTGAATCGAGTAGCTAAATAATAATAATAGACAATAAAACAAAGAAAAAATGTTTTTTTTTTAAAAAAGTGGACAAAAAATACTAGCTAAAAGGAAAAAAGGAAATTTATGGCATTACAGCTTACATGGATATCAAAAAGGAATATACTTAAAAGTGGAGAGTTTGACTCCATGATTAATTCAAATTACGTGTTGCTTAGTTGTATAGTAAATATAAACGACGTGAGAGACAAACAAAACCAAAAAAAAAAAAAAAAAAAAAAAAAATTCCTTTTTTGTTATTTTTGTGTGGTAGCAGTCGCCGGAGCTGTGGTTTTCTGTCTCCCCCGATCTGAGCTTCTCTCTCTCTACCCCTCTCAAACACAGAATAGCCTCATTCTCAAGCTACTGGTTTGATCTCTTCCACCATTCTCTCTTTCTGTATCTGTTTCTCTATGTATCCACTTATCTTCATCGTTATTCTCGATGTTCTCTGTCATTATACATAGCTAATAACTTCAATTGGCTACTCCTTTTTTTTAAATTTGATTAAGATTTGGTAGAAGATCAAGGAATTGCTACTTTGTAGATTGGGCTTTGAAGCTTTTTATATGTCAGATAGTCTCATTGTGTATTTGGTGAAATATAGATTGAGCTTAGAAGCTTTTGTGCAGTCTGTGTAGAATGATGTTTTTTAAGCAACGGAACGAAGTTTAGGATTTGGTGGCGCTCAGTTGACCGGCGATCTCTAGCGTTTTGTATGTTCATGTGATATAGCCCGGGCTTGAGGCTCGGGATCCGAACCATGGCGGCAGAAAGCGAGCAACAGGCTTGGATCGAAGAGGAACCTAATCCTAGCTCTAACTATTATCTGCAGAAGTTTAGGCTCTATGAGACTCGCTCGGTATAATTCTAACCATCTTTAGTACTCAATTTTAATTTTTTTTGTTGTTGCTACGTATGTAAATGTAATGGTGTTACTCTTGGACACATCTTTGACAATACTACATGCAAATTTTATCTGCTATTCCGGTTCTGTGGTTTTGGTACAATTAAATTGGAAGTTAGGCTAATTTGGTCGATTGTTTTAATCTCGCACTGTGATCTGGATTGCTAAAATATTCATTGTTTACTTGGTTGCCTCGTCTGAATCATAGACGTGAAGGGTGAAGTTGTAAGCATTATATTCTTTGCTGGAACTGTTTTCCCTTTTTCTGCCGGCGATGGGAATATGTGTAGGCTTTGTTGAAGATATATTTCACCACTTATGCTGAAAGAAATTTGAAATTGAGAAATAAACCTGTTAAGTCTAGAATTCCAGAGTTTGAATTTTACAGAGTTGCATACTGTTGACATCACACTGCACATACTACTGGACTTGGTGAAAAAACTTCAACTCTGATTTGTAGTTGTTTTAACTACATTATTGTGTGAAGTAGCTTCATGAACAATGCAGAGAGTGAAAGACTGAAGTTCTTTGGGTATATATAGCTTTTAAACTTAAGTTAATCGTGATCAGATATATATTTGTGTAGTTAAAGGAGGCAGCAAATTCTCATTGATTTCATTGAGCCATTATAGTTTTTTTTTTTGGTGAACTGTAAAGGGTTGTTGATTTGTGAGAAAATATGGAAATCATCGGCACAAGAGGGGGTCAACCACCCTTTAGAAACATCCCATCCCTCTTGGAGCCTCATTCTTCTGAGAAATCTGAATTGAGCCATTATAGTTTAATGTGCTCATTCTATGTGGAGTTTGATCATTGTAGTTACTGGTTTCCTGTGCTTCTAACACATGGTTATGAGATCTTCCAATCATAGATGTTAGTTTTGCTCTAGAAACACAACTTTGCTATTTTTACATGTGAACGACTTGAGACATTCATCTTGACCACAATCTACTTTTGAAGTTACTGTTATATCAATTGAGGATTATCAATGCAATCAATGATTTACTGTTCTAAACATCAAAATTGCTCATAAGACAGCTACTCCCCTCGGCGAAACATTTAATTTCAATTAGTTGGGTTGTCCTGCACGAATTTTTTGTTGCCTTTTGTTCCTCTATAGGGTTGGACATATCCTCTAATAATAGATCATCATTTTATATCTTCTCAGCACTTCAATGCACCCTCTTCTTACTCTTGTAGCTGCCCCATGGCCGAGATTAAAAACAATGAGTCCTACTTACTAGTCTGTTGCTACTTTTTGTTGGAGGTGATCATGTCCTCTAATGTTCTGACTTTAGGGTGTACACATGGACTAATTAACCCAAATCAAAATCCAGTGTTTTCCAATCTGTTTTTTTGGTTATCTTAGTTTATCAACTATGAGAGGCAATTTAATTTGGGACAAACACCCGCATTGAGAGAGAGAGAAAGTTATGGAGTTGATTGCTACTCACAAGTAATGACCCTATGAATGTATATATGCATTAATCAAGCTAATAATTATAAAGAGGGTTGAGTGGTAGCTAATGGTTAGGTTTTATACTTTGTGTTTGAAAAAAATATGGACAAAACAGCTTGAACATGCTACTTATTTTTAGTCTTCCAAGCTTGGTTTGCAGCCTTTCGTTAGAGTTTCGGAGTCTTATATATTTTATGCTCAGATGGTTTGATTGATGGTGTTTATTATCCAGTAATCTTGGTTCTGTAACTTCTGTTTCACTTTTTTTCCCCCTCCCTTGTGAGAATCTGATTTCATTTCACAGATGATGATTTCCTTCTTCTTCTAAGCCAAACTGTATCCTTTAATACTTGATTTGTGTATATATCTGCTAATCATAGACTACGTTCATCTCTACAACCGGCCTTTGAATTTAGCTTTGTATGTTGTTTCAGTCTTTCTTAAAACACTCTATTTCTGTCTACCTTTTGCTACAATAGTTTTGTGAAAATATCAGGTATAGCGGGCTTCATTATATATTTACTTTCCGTTGTTGTAAAGCAGATTTATTGAGCATTTGTTCCTTTTTATTCTTCTCTTTTTTCTTTAGGTGTGGACAACTTCTAATTGGAATGCCAAATACGGAGTTTTCTTATTATTAAGCAGTAATCCAAGGATACTAATATGCCTTTTATTTTCATCAGAAGTTTTATATGATTGGATGGAACAAGAACAGAACCATTTGGAGAGTATTGAAGATTGACAGGTCTGAGCCTTCAGAACTAGATATTATTGAGGATTCAACGACATATTCAGAAAGAGATTGCTTTGACCTGATGAAAAGAATACATGAAGGCAACAAGTCTACCGGTGGCCTTAAATTTGTCACCACTTGTTATGGAATCGCTGGTATGTTGTATAAATTGAGTTTTTACCTATCGAAATAGATTGTTGTTTTGTTCGGTATAGAACTCATGCCTTTTCTCTGATTTTAGGATTTATAAAGTTTTTGGGACCATATTACGTGCTGCTTATAACAAAAAGAAGGAAGATCGGTGTAATCTGTGGTCATTCAGTATATGCCATTACCAAGAGCGAGATGATTCCAATTCCCAATTCTACTGTGCGATCCAATATGGCTATTTCTAAGAATGAGAACAGGTCTTTTGTCAATTCTGCATGTAAATGTAAAATGTCCTTGGTACTTCTGAGACATAAGAGATTAGAACTCAAAAGTTGTTACTATCCGCTTGTATCTAGATGAGCATTGCCTTTCAATGTGTTTATTATTTTTTTAAATTGTTTTTGGATGTTTAGTCTGAGTTTGGGCCTCATCTTTGGATAAGAAACAAGTTTTACACTGTGGAGGTAATCTCTGTACTATTTTCTGAATACACCCTTCAGTGTTGTGTCAGTGATGTGGGCTTGTTTGCTTCAGGCTGACTACATGGCCATTTGATAGTTTTGATTCCCTCTTTTTCAAAGGTGAAACAAAGAGTGCAAGTACAAAATCTCTATATGTAGGAAATACTAAGTGCTACTGTGAATGTATTCTCATTAGATACATGTGTTACTTAGAGGCCATGGCCAGTTCATTTACTGCGAATGTACAGGGGCAAAGTTCATTGCTGTTCTGATGTTAATATAACGTGTTGAATGAGACAAGGTATCATCTGGGTTTCAGGGGGGAAGTTGATTTCTGATTTCTGATTGCTTATTTTTATTTTTCTGTTTCAGTTTTTCAGTCAACAGCTGTTTACCTCCTCTCTTTTCCTCTTTTGATCAATTTATTGGACTTTTCATTTACTTAATTTGCTTTTGCTCTTTTTTACCTGCTGATTACATAGATACAAGAAGCTCCTATGGACAGTGGACCTTACAAAGGACTTCTTTTTCAGCTACTCCTACCATGTCATGCATAGTCTTCAAAAGAACTTATGTGATCCTGGGACAGGTCAATCTCTTTATGAAACAATGTTTGTTTGGAATGAGTTCTTAACTCGCGGAATCCGCAATCACCTCAACAATAGTATGTGGACAGTTGCATTGGTTTATGGCTTCTTTAAACAGGTATTCAATAATTTAATGCTTTTTTAAATTCATAGACAGCAAAAATTCTATACAGAAATGTAATGTAAGGGAATTCTATTAGTTCATAATTTATTCTTTCCCATCTTAGCTTCTGTAATAGGACCCTGATATGATTCATTGTGGTAAAGCATCTGGTAGGAACCTTTTTTCTTTTTTACTGTTTTTTTTTTCGGATTTTCATACTTCTTAACAGTGATGTAGAATAACTTTTTTCATGTTTAGTTTGAGAAGAATGGTTCTACATGTCGGTGCTTTCCTAATGTGGTCAATCTCATGATAAGTTGGATGTCGCTTTGTTTACCTGCCCAGATTTAGATGTTAAGTGCAAATAACTAACCGAGAAACACATATTTAGTTCGTCAAGCCAGCTGACCTTGAAGATAGTTTTCACAACTTTGTTGTCTTGCCAAATGACCGTATAATCTTTCTGCAGGATTAGAGTCCTCTAATATTTATGGTTGTTTGCTTTGAAATTCTTTTGTCTGGATGAATAGCCGTGGCTATGTTCTTTGAAGTGCTTGGTCTGGTATTATCTTCCTGAATTATTTAAAAGATTTGATGATTGCATGCAGTTGAATTGTTAGGGTTTTGGAGAATAAGAGAGAAGAAGAGCGAAAGAGATTAAGAAAAGTGTGTATTGTATTAGGTTAAACAACTACAACATATATATACTCATACAGTGCAAAATACTAAACTACCCTTATTCTAGTATTCATGCATAGCATAACACATGCATTGACTTTTCTTCTGTTTTTTTTTTGAGAGTCAGACTTTCCATAAGTATGCAATCTTGATTTGTAATAATGCCTTTACTTGTAAAACTTTGTGTGACCATGCCTTTGTTTATAACATAGGTGAGACTTTCGATATCTGGAAGGGACTTCAAGTTGACCCTCATTGCTAGGCGGTCCCGTCATTATGCTGGAACCAGGTTTGTGCTTTCTTCCTGCAACAGCTGAAGTGGTTTTGACCATGTTCTCTCAATACTGCACGTCATTTACCATCTCCATGGCCCATTCATACATTGCCAGTTTTACATAAAAAAGTGTAGAGGACACGCCCATAAAGAAATCCTACTGACCATTCTTTGAAGGTGAAAAAGAATAATAGCCACTTCGGATGGTTGAATTCATGAAGTCTTGTGTGTATACTTGAATGCATCTTAAATGAGTATCCATCAGAAGAAGCTAATTTTTGCCCCTACTGCTCATCATGGCTCTTATCTTTTCCCTCTCTGATTCAGGTATTTGAAACGAGGTGTGAATGAGAAAGGTCGTGTTGCCAATGATGTTGAGACAGAACAGATTGTTTTTGAAGACCTTCCCGACGGTTGCCCAATGCAAATATGTTCTGTTGTGCAGAACAGGGGTTCAATACCTCTTTTCTGGTCGCAGGAAACTTCACGATTGAATATTAAACCTGACATCATGTGTATGAATTGAGCAAGATGAAGTGTTGTATTTAATGTGATCATGTCTTTTCGTATTTTGCTGACTGTATTTCCCTTTCCAGTGTTGAAGAAGGACCACAAATATGAAGCTACTAGACTTCACTTTGAGAATCTCGTCAAGAGATATGGAAATCCAGTTATTATATTAAATCTAATTAAGGTAGTCTGTTTGCCACAATTGAGGGATCAATTGTATTATTTATATGAGTGGTCTATATGTTTCTGCTTGTATCCGCAATTCAACGATCCTGTGATGNTTAAATCTAATTAAGGTAGTCTGTTTGCCACAATTGAGGGATCAATTGTATTATTTACATGAGTGGTCTATATGTTTCTGCTTGTATCCGCAATTCAACGATCCTGTGATTTGTCTTCCTTATGTCATAAAAATCATTTGTGGTTGACAGACTCGTGAAAAGAAGCCCCGAGAATCTATTCTCCGTGCAGAGTTTGCCAATGCTATTGCATTCATCAACAAAAATTTAGCGAAGGACAACCGCTTAAAGTTCCTTCATTGGGACCTAAACAAACATTCTAGAAAGTAAATTGGCTTTTCTTTGCTGTTCGTCAATTATTGTTATATTTTCAGTTTTCTTGAGCACACTTGATGTGGGCATACCCTGATTCTTTTTCAGCAAAGGTACAAATGCATTGTCAACTTTAGGCAAAGTGGCTGCTAATGCATTGGAATGGACTGGCTTCTTTTATTGTCAAGTAACCCCAAACCCAAGGACGAGGGAATTGTTCAGGTGGTCCTACCTTGAGTAAGTTTAACAGAGATTGCAGCTCCTTATGGCAAGTTCCCTTTTTGTTTATATTTTGTCTATAGTCTATATATTTTAATGAGGTCTTGAAATTATCCTGCATAACCACTTGACAAAAATAAAGTCCAGTGCTGTTATACAAATCAGTGTGCAAGTTAGGTGGATTCAAACCAAGCGATGGAGCAGCGGGTACTAAATTCTCTAGATGTTCCTTTGGGCTTGAGTTCCGAAATACATCAACTGAATCTTTGACAGTTTGACTTTAGCCGTGGATTTTGGCCTTGGGCAACCCATTCTTGATTTAAGATGTCTCAATAATTTTATACTTACAGACGTCAGTTATAAAATATTATAAAATTTAAAGAGTGATATTGTTTATAGTTATATGCTTAGTAACGTTTCTTTATTGTACAGGGATTTGTGCAGTCTATATTGTGGAATTTGATTTTAAACATTCACCGACCAGAATTACTTTCTATTTCATAAGTTTACTTCAAAAATTATAAATGTATGATGTATGATAAGGTTGAGTTTGTTTGATTAGTGGACATTGTCATCCAGGGCATTTTCAAAAATACACTAGACATGGATGATTTCTCTGACATTCCATATGGGAGTTTAGACTGAGCACCTTGAACCACATGGGACAGCTTGTTGGGATGTGGGCAACTTGTCTATCCCTTACATAGACTCTCTTTTTGGGCTACCAGACTACAATTTAAATATTTATTTTGGCTTTTCCGATGGATTTCAACAAGCTACTAACACTTTAGAATGGAATTCATTGCAGGAACAATGATAGTGGTGATTCTCGGCCGAATGATTGTAATGAAAACAAGGATCTTGATGATGTGGAATCAATTTGTAGAAATGGAGAAGATGATGTGAGTGGAAATCACTCTGTCAAACCTCTGATGCTTCAAAAAGGGGTACTACGAACCAATTGCATAGATTGTCTTGATCGGACGAATGTTGCACAATATGCGTATGGGTTGGTTGCTTTTGGCCATCAGCTGCATGCTCTAGGATTTGTAGATGTCCCAAGTATCGATCTGGACTCCACTTTGGCGAAGGAATTGATGAGGGTTTATGAGTCGATGGGTGACACACTTGCACTACAATATGGTGGATCTGCTGCACATAATAAGGTAATCATTCTAACATATCCACTATGATTCCATCTACCAGACTCTTGTGACTACTGCCTGAACTATGGTAGAGTGCTTGAAATTGGAATATGTGTGTTGGATGATCATTATACTAGAGATTCAATGATTTAAACAGAGTGTGGTGGAATATGATTTGTTCAGTGGACATGGAACTGTATCGATGAGGTTTTTTTTTTTTTTTTGCTTGTTGTAACTCTATAATTGGTGATTTACCTGCAACCTGGCCCCTTTTTGACCAGAAAATAACTTGGCCAAATTGAAGATGACAATCTTACTTAAAGCCTCACATAAGTTAGTTCCCCACAATTTATCTTGCTAAGTATTGCAAATAATCGTTTGTATTGTTGGGTTCTCATTGAAATCTTGATTATCATATAGTATTTTTGTTGCTTAAAATTTTTGTTGTTTATTTTAGTCGTGCATTGTTGAGTTCGTCAACCTCTCCTCCTGGGGAGATAAGCTTGCATACATTTGATCCTCCTTATACCGCTAGTGGGTGGAGTCTTGTGCACTGTACTGTCCTTATTGTTGAGTTGATCATGGGTGGTGCCTTGAGTCAATAATACTCTTACAGTAAGTATCAAATCACTGTATGGGCACACTTATTATATGATCAATTGAAGATTTGAACATCACCTATCTGGTTATTTTTTATCAAGGAAAACAATAATTTGAATTCATAAACAGGGATCATTAATAGGATTAATATGAATTCAACTTGCATTATTGTTAATTTATCAAAAAATGTAACATGAAAATTTTGTCATTCCTATTATCATATCTAAATGAACTTACTAGTCTTTACTCAATGGAAACTAATTACATGTGCACCTCAAAGAAACTCTGTATTTCTGGACACTCTGAGATCTTATGACTTCAATTTTAAGTTTTGATTTCTGTTTTGGCTTTGCCTTGTACCAATTCATCTCTAAAAATGTAGATCACATAGTTCTTTACGTTCTGTAGCTCTGTTGTGATCATTAGTGATTTGAATACGCATGAATTCCTGTGTCTATGACTCTATGCATTTATTTAAACTTAAAAACTTTTGATGAAAAATGAGTTGCCAAAAAAGGGGTTTCGGTGCTTCTTTATCATCTAAAGAACAGTTTCTCATTCTTAGTGTGCCGGTTTTCACTAGAGTGATGACCAATATGCGTTCGTCAGATTTTTTGCTTCACACTAACTCCCAGTCGATGAATGAACTTTCCTTTGTTGTCATCTCTGTCTGAACTAATACTGTTAATATTCTTTGTTCACAATACTTATCTATTCTTGTGACTTAACCAGTAGTAAACATACAATAGTGCCACTATGATTGGTACTGAGAAGCAGGTATCATTATCCCCAAGGCAGTTGCCATCAGAACATGTAATCAGGCCCTAGTGAATGTTAATAATTTAGTGTCATAGGTCTATCCTAAATCTCACGTGTATACTCCAGCATATTTTCTGAAGCATCATAGTTCACTCTTTAACCATCTCAGTTCTCCTAGTTATCTTTCTTGGGACGTCAGCTTATATGTACTTGTCAGCATTTTACAACTCTCAATATTGTATTCTTGGGGATTTGTGGTACTGAACAGATATTCTCTGAGAGAAGAGGTCAGTGGAAGGCAGCAACTCAGTCGCAGGAGTTGTTTAGAACATTACAGCGGTATTACAGTAATGCCTACATGGATGCTGAAAAACAAGATGCCATTAATGTGTAAGTTAAATAATCCTTGCCTTCAAACTAAAATCCATGCTTGTTTCTTGGACAGTAGAATAGCAACAGCAAACTTCATATCCTGGGATACATCATCTAATTAGCTCCTTGCCTTTTGTAGTGTTATACTTAATTTCCTCTGTTGTGCTGAATAAATATGATACTTCCATAGAGGAAGAAAACATCTAGATGGGTTTGTGGGCAATAACTACTTTAGTTTTGCAGGGCATAATACCAGTCATGTCATGTACTGTTCATACTAAGTATAATAATGAGTTTTTGATTTCCTATTTGCACTTTTCTCAATATTTGAGCAGGTTCTTGGGGCACTTTCAGCCACAACAGGGTAAGCCGGCCCTGTGGGAATTGGATTCAGATCAGCATTACAATATTGGAAGGCGTGATTCTGATTTTCCAGATGAAAATGCTAGGTAAGATCGTTGTGTTCTCTGAATTGTGATCCTTTTTTACCCAGCTTCATGGATAGCATCTCTTTCTATTGAAACAAAGACAACTTTAGAACAACTATACGAGAGTTGTACATTGTATTATAAAAGGTACACGTTAACTTTCAAATGTGCATTACTGGAGTGGCGGAGCTGTCACATGCTGCTAGGCATTCAAACTTCCATTGTGGTTGCAATATTTTTGTGCTACCAAATTTATTTAAAAAGAATTGGGTCTCTGTTTGAATATTCAAGCACGCAAATGAATCAACACTGCTGTCTACTTGAAATTCATTGCCTTTACTCAAACATCTTTGAATTTATATTGACTGACGTAATGTATTGGGTTCTGTCCATGGTATGCATGAAAATTAGGTTAAACCTCAAGCCGCTGATCTCTGCTTGGGGGACATTTTGAGTAGGGTAGTTTCTGTTACTCCTCAGCTGATTTGTTGTGTTTGTTGGGTTTGACAGGAGTACTATTTGATATCCATTACATGATTACATGGCAGCCGCGTTTCATTCAAAATAGCTTACATTGCTATTTTCTGCTTGTGCAGGTCATTTATTAAAAGGTCTCTATCAGATGGCAACATCCTCTGTGAAAGCGATTCTCCTATAGAAGTTGCAAGTGTTAAACATAATGAGGATTATAACCAGCCATTACCTCACGACATGCACAGTGGTAACAAGGGTCTCTCAGAGTCCACACCAGAAATATCGACCTATGAAAATGATATATCTTTTTCCAGGTCAGCTTTATTATACCCTTCGATATCTTGCAACTATGGTTCCTCTTTTAGCTGGCCCTCTAACTTGCTATAGTGGGCTTTAAGCTTACTATTGGTTCATTCTTATCTTTTTGGAACAAGTATTACAAAGTAGGCTTGGAAAAAATAGGGGCCTAGACGTGCTGATATTTTTCAATGGGTTATATGAGATGTGAAAAATTTGAGAAAACAGTTCTCGATCATTTTATAGGGTTGATTGGAAACCAAAGAACAGCAAATAGCAGTTAAACCAATTGATTTGTCCAATATTTTTTGCAAACAACCTTTTTGTCTTTTCTGTGACTTTGAAAACAAAAAACTGTTGCCGAAAGTGCTCTCAACAGACCCTAATAACTATGTTTTTTTGATCAAACTGTAACAAACAAGTTTGAAACGGCCGATCAGCCAAGACATTTATGTTCATGTAGTATATGAGGAGTAGTCTCTGCGAAAGCGATGTGTTGTATTAATAGATCTAAGTGTTAACAGCCGAACATATCCAACTTGATTAGTTCTCCATCTTGGCACTTTTCTTGAATTACCTGGTCTTAACTGGTTGACATGCCCAACCCATGGCAAACTCCACTCGGAGACATCTCTTTAATAATGTGTTAAAGGGGGATGGCTGTGTATTTAAAGAGGTAAAAAGTTTGCTTTGTGGGCTGAAGCATCTGAAGCAAAGTGTTGTAGCACTAGCGTCTTAAACGTAAAGGCCAAACAAGCCAATTGGATGGTTCTCCGCCATGGCATGTTGCTGCAGTAACATGGTCTGAAGTGCTTGACATGGTAATCTCTTGGAAAACTCCATCAAAAGGAGATGTCCTAACAGTTCTTGTTTGTCTCTCAACTTCACATGACAGTGGGATGCTCAATTACAGTCTATTAATCTGTTCACCATACCAGTGAAATCTGGGATGTACTGGTACATTTGTGGGGTTATATACATTACTATGAAAGGGCCCACACAATCTGCAAGTCTTTGCTTCTTGTGGCATTCTTATGTCTTATATTTTCTTCCCAGGAGCTTTGTCAAACAGAATTACTTTCAGGAAAACACATTGCCTCCTAGCTGACACAAAAGCTCAGAAGGTTGCATGTCCCATTAAGCACCTAGACTTGACTAATTAAGATTGGTTGATTCCATCAGATCGTATTTTTTATTGTGAAATACAAGGCAAATAGTTTGCAGAGGAGATTGAGTAGTTAGAAAGGCAGGCTTACATGGTTTTTTGTTGGCTCATGTTTGTAATGCTTATCTTTTCAAATGTTCGTTTTCCTTTCTAGGTATACCCCTTCAATGTCACGTCAGAAGCTTTTCCATGATGTGCATCTGGAACAATGTCTTGACGATGATCACAGTTGTTTTAAAGAACATGGGGATGAATTCAACTGCTCAAATTTTCTGGACATGGACTGGCTATCTTCATCTGGAAATTCTTGTGAAGAGGAGATGTATGAAAGGTAATTCTTGATGTTCTGTGACCTTCACTAGCACCCTTTATTTGCACTATCCATCATTTGCAATCAACTTTCTCCATTCTTCCATCACCATTGGGCCCATTATAATTACAACCATCTCCAAATCACCCATCCATTCTATTTCTAGTATTAAATTCATTCCCAACCATGCTTTTCTTTGACTCAAATTTTGATAGATTGACCAGAAGTACTATATTTAGGATTTGGATTTCCTCCAATGCAGTTTCTCTCAATTACACTTAATAGTAGATCACATGCCATTATTAAAGTGGGACTCAAATACTTTGGGGTCATTGTGGGTAATCTGCCATTGAGGGGGAATGAGGGAAAGTGTATCGAAGAGAGTATGCACCAACATAGCTGAGCAGCAGAATTTATATAAATGAATATGCATAATCAAATCAAACAGCGTTCTCTCTCTCTCTCTCTCTCTCTGTCTCTCTCAGTGTGAATATCTCAGCTTATTTCTTTGAAGTATGTTCAATTGAATGGTGCTTAGATTCAGAGTTGTTTCCTTTGCGGCACTTTCTTTTAAAGGCTAATCTCAACTTGTACCCTGAAAAATCACTCGAATCTCAATTTACACCTTTAAAGCTTAAAAATATTAATTTACACCCTGAAGAATATAGATACGTATCAATGTGTCCTTGGGACTAACTGCCGTCTATTTTCCCATTAAAAAAATTTGAGTTAATTATAAATTGCACCCCTTAAAGTTTAAATATTTCACATTTATGATCCAAAAAGAATTTCATCCATTAATGCTCGTTAAATAGTTCTCAATTATATCGTATCATAATATTTTCGTGTCATGTTCGAGTCAATAAAAAAATATTTTTAACACAAAATATTTTTGTGTCGAGTCAATTACGTTGTTTCATATATTTCACATTTACGACAATTTATATAATACTATTTAAAATTTTTAAAAATTAAAAAATTAAAAAATATTTTTTTGCCAATAATACTCATTAAATATCAATTTTCTATCTATATTTATGTTATTTGTATCTAACTTTAATTTGATCGAACAATCAAAAGATTTGTGTCTAATTTAAGACATAAAATAGTTATTTAACGAGTATTGTAAGAAAAAAAATAAGTATTTTATAATTTTTTTTAATTTTAAAAATACTTTTAATTGACTCAAACATGACATGAAGATGTTATGATACGATACAATTGAGATTTGAAAGTAATTTAATAATTATTAATGGATATTTTTTTTTTTTGATCATAAATATCAAATATTTAAATTTTGAGGGGTACAATTTATAATTAGTCCAAACTTTTTTAATGGCTAAATGGACTAGCCCCAGGTTCACATTGATACGAATTTATATATTTTAAGGTGTAAATTAATATTTTTAAACTTTAAGGGTGCAAATTGAGATTCAAGTGATTTTTCGGGGTGTAAGTTGAGGTTAGCTCTTTTGAAGAAAATAAACACTGCAGTTTTCTTTTTGAGGAAAGAAAAATAAAAAGCCAAACTTGTGATGGGCGGACTGTTAGATGTGAGAGATAGTATGTCTTTTAGTATTAGGAAAGACAATATATATGGCATGCCAATGGTCTTTTATCCTGTGCACACGGAGTTGGCGGTACTCCACCTGGAAATATGCAAAGGATTTTGTTGTTTTGTTTTATAAGTGGTTCTAATTCAATAATTATCTGAAGTTATGGAATTTGTGTCTGTTGGCTTTCAAATGTGGCCGCTTCTCCACTCTTCTGTCAGTCAAAGAAGCTAGCTGNCTAATTCAATAATTATCTGAAGTTATGGAATTTGTGTCTGTTGGCTTTCAAATGTGGTCGCTTCTCCACTCTTCTGTCAGTCAAAGCAGCTAGCTAGGCATCGTGGAAACGTATAAGACAACAATAATTTCATTGCTTTGTTTGTTTTCTAATATGTACGCTAGGAGCCATATATCTTAAAATCTAACAAATGCACGGCAAACTTGCACTCCTTTCCCTCTGGAACCATAATTTAAATTAAGATTTTTATTTGATCGGATTACTACTTTGGATCCTATTGTTATGTTTGAAGATCTCACACTGCATCTAATGGCTGCAGATCTACCCTCATGAACTCTCCCGTTGCTGGTCTATCATCAGATAGCGTTCTAAATGAACTTAAAATGGAATCAAGCGCTTCTGCGAGTGAGTCTGGATCAAGCATGAAGGTCAGTTTATTCTTATGGGTCACACAATTATGTTAATCTGGAATAAGTGTACGTCTGTGTACTAATGTGCCTACTATTTGTCATCCACAATTTCTAATGCATCTCCAGTTGGTATTTTGTGCATTCAAAGTTCAAACTTTTGATATCTACTGGATGCATACATGGGATGAACTGATGGTTTTCTAGGCCATCTTCACTTTGTCAACCCATAAAATAAATGTAGTAATTTTGTGACTACTGTCACATTCCTGGGTTGGGGTTTTGGTCCTGTTAAAGTGATGCATATCTACAGGGGCTAAATTAGAGTTCATTGTCTCTTGCTAGCAAAGGCAAGGTCCAAGTGCGATGCCAATTTGAGCACTTAAATATGAAGTCATTTATATTTGTTTGACTGGGATTTGAGTCATTAACATGCATGTATGAAAAATCCAATTTGTTAAAGGATAGGAAATAATAATTGATGCAGTTTGTTTTTAATTCTTCCCTATTACATTTGCCAAGTTTTTTCCCTGTCCGAACTTTTTGTAGCAAGGGGAGCTGACTGCTACACATGCTTATGGTGCTGCTCGGGCTTCTGATGTTCTAGGCGAATTTTCTGATAGCTTTGTGTACTGGGTAATGCATGGAGAGATGCTGTTCCCTTGAAGTTCAGCGCTGGTTTTTAATCAAAACTACTATTCCTCACCACCATCGATTAATTTAATCAACCCATCCGAAGGATGTGGTTGTCCACCAGAAAATAAATAGCAGGAGAACAACATTGCAGAATGAGCAAAATTCTTGGCATTTTTGTGGAAGATAAATTCCTCTAAACAAAGGTATTCTCAGTTTGTATAAAGTTTTCGGCATTTATTCGAAGATAATATCGTCCATTTGAGAAAGATACAGGGATTACGATAGGGTAAATAGCAACATCTAATTCTTTTTGGAGCTCATAGTTCCTAACTCTGGTTATCAACTTCAAAGTTTTCCACCTTGTAAATATTATGTGAATATTCTGATTGTTGGAGCTTCAGTTCAGTTATATTTATAGTCTTATTTCTTACAATTTATACCTTGTTCATTCTGATGGCGAACATATTACTGTTCCCTATGAAAACGTTTACTGCTGTACATGCTATCAAGTGCTATTCTAAACCCACAACATTCTTTAGTGAGCTACATTTGCGTACGCATTCACCGTTCATGGTTGGCACCAATTTGCAGGGGTTCAGATGACCAATTTAATTTTGCCCTCCAGTGTGCTTGTCAAGTTGGATTTTCTGGATAGAGCTCTGAAGTAGCTCTAGATAGAACATTCATACAAACACTGGTCACAGTATTTGAACAGAGCAATACTTTGGTGTCTGCTGTTGAAGAGTAGTCCGTTGCACGAGGCTTCCACTATTGTGGAATCTGGTGAAGGTCAGATGCGACCAACACATGCAGAGAGATTGTTTCTGTTACTTTGATGCCTGTTGCTACAGCCTTTTTTTTTTTAGGTAGAATCAAGTTGGTTAAACATGGACTTAAATTCCTTTATTATCTCATTGTTTTCCCCGGCTTAGAAACTTAAAGTCTGTGGTGTGTTGGTCCCTTTCATAATCGCTTTGCTACAAAAATGAGCTTCTCTTCTCAAAGTTGTGTTTAGGTTTCCTTGCTCTACCCATCTACGGCATTGGTCCTGTTGCCGAACTCAAATGACTGGTGGCTGCAGGCTGCGAATCTGACGTGCCAATTTCTGTCTCCAGCTATTTATTATGCAGGTAGATTTTTACTTAAGATTGGTTCAAGCTGTTGAATGCTGTAGCAGATGTATGTATTGCGATGCAATGAATTTCAAAGGGGTGGAACATGACTACGTATGCACCATGATAAGCTGTTTTTTTAATTTATTGACGAATCGAAGTGACTGATGATTGAATTTCAGTGGAGCGTTGCAGGAAGGCCACTTTGTTATTTACAATATCCGCTGCTTAATTGGAGATGAAAAATCTTGCTTTTTCTTCCTAAAATACTATTTGTATTCGTATGCTTAATTCGTTTTAAAGTAATTTTTAATTGATTCTTAATCTATGTGATTTATAGAAATTCGTAGATTTGATTCATGCTTTCAATATAAATGTTGGTTTTCAAAATATGCCTTCAAAGGATAAATATTGAAAGTGTATTTTGCAACCATGTGTTTACGTCAACAGCGTAGCATCATACCATGTTTATAAGGTAATTAGTAATTTACCAAGTGAGTGAATAATTTTTTCAGAAAAAATTAATAAATAAATATTTTGTATATGTATACTTAAATTAAATATCATCTCAAATTTACTACACTTATTTTTTCATCTCTCATGTTACACTATAGATTTTTTTGAAAACTTTGTATGTTCTAACTTTAAGAAAAATAATAAAAAAAGAAAAAAAATAATTTAACTTTTATNACGTCAACAGCGTAGCATCATACCATGTTTATAAGGTAATTAGTAATTTACCAAGTGCGTGAATAAGTTTTTTAGAAAAAATTAATAAATAAATATTTTGTATATGTATACTTAAATTAAATATCATCTCAAATTCACTACACTTATTTTTTCATCTCTCATGTTACACTAGATTTTTTGAAAACTTTGTATGTTCTAACTTTAAGAAAAATAATAAAAAAAGAAAAAAAATAATTTAACTTTTATTTTTTTCTATAATTTTGTAATTGAAAGTGATTTTTAGTAATGTTTGCAAATTAAATTTTTAAAATTAATTTGATTAAGATTTTACTTATAAATCATTGAATAAAATAAATATAATTATCAACATACCAATTATATTGGAACTCTACTATATTTAGGATTAGTTAAGTCAATTGAGATAAAATTTATATACAACGCTATAATATATATTATAAGTATATTAAAATTTTAAAAAATTTAGGTTTTTTACATAAAATATTAAAACAGTTTAAAAAGTTTATTATGACTAAAAAATCATGTAAAATTGTATATACGTTTTTTATTATCTTAAAAATGAAATGGTTAAACATTTTGATGAAAAATAACATATATGTATGTAGTCATAATATTATTTTTATAAATGAGATGAGTAATATTATATTGATAAAGTTTTTGAATATTTGCTAAAACTTATAATAATGAACAGGTTTTTTAAAAATAATATAATCAATCAAAAATTTTATAAAAATTGACTATTTATAAATAGAGAATAGATAATTAAAAAATTAATTTGATTAAGATTCTACTTATAAATTATTGAATAAAATAACAAAAATTATCAATACATCAATCATATTGGAATCTTACTGTATTAGGATTATGTAGTTCAATTGGGATAAAATTTAATATATAATGCTATAATATATATTATAAAGCATAATAATTTTTTTTTTAATAATTAAATTTTCACATAAAATCTTAACACAGTTTGAAAAGTTTACTGTGACTAAAAAAACATGTAAAACTATATATAAATTATATTTTTTCTTAAAAATGAAAGGGTTAAACATTTTAATGAAAAATAAAATATGCATATGTAGTCATAATATTATCTTTATAAATGAAATAAATAATATTATATTTATGAAAATTTTGAAGGTTTTTTGAATATTTTGTTAAAACTTGTAATGATACATATATTTTTTAAGAGTAATATAATTAATTAAATTTTTTTATAAAAATTGATATTTGTTCATAGTGAATATATAATTAAAAGTGATCTCGGATGTAAGTTGGAGATTTAAATACATAAAAATAGGATGGTAATTTAGATATTAAGTGTGAAAAGATAAAGTGGTATTTTTAATTCTTTATGAAGGTAAAATAATAAATCAAAATTTTTTCACGTTAAATTAATTTTATTACAAATATAGATAACAGTAGTATTATGAAATCACGAGAATTCAAAAATTGAATCTGTAACGTAGAGCCATTGTTATGGTTATATGGCCCATTGGGGCCCAATGGTTATTCTGACCATGTGATCTTCAAATCCATCTGAAATATAATTAGATGGTTTGAAATGTGAATGTCAAACTTGTAAAGGTGTGTATACATAAAGTAAATATTGAATGTAACGGTGATATCATGTTACCATCGATGACATGATATCATCAATTAATAATAAAATCTTAAATAAGTAAGATGAATCCAACTTGAACTTACATGACAGAAAAGTAAGAAGTTATTTACTTATATGACAGATTGGTTATTAATTCTTATAAGATTTGTGACGCCCCTAAAATCGGGGGTCCCGTTGATTTCCCGTCAAACCGGAAAAATACTTGTGATTGTCGCATAACTCAACATCACATCTATCACATCCCTGTAACCGTAATTACAACCCATGCGTGAATCCATGTTTCTTTTAATTTATTTAATCTCACTGAGGTTCAACATACCGCAATGTATCTCATTTAAAGTCTATTTGAGTCATTGGAACCAAAGAACACATAGCTCAAAAGCATGACAATACATTCTTAAAATTTCAGATTTTTGAAAAATCTTCTGGAAGGTTTTGCTCACCGGAAAAATTCTTCCTGAAGGTTTTGTCTACTGGAATTCAATTTACACTAACCTTCCGGAAGGTTTTGCCTGCTGGACCAAAAGTTTACATTAACCTTCCGGAAAGTTGTCGTGACCTTCCGGAAGGTTTTGCCCAGAATTTTATACATCTTCAATTTTTCATTTTCAATCCACTCAAAAATTTTCCAAAACCACTCCAAACATGTATAATAATATTTTTTCTACATTATACATGATCCATACAAATTCTATTACAAACATTTGCAAAATTTACATATCCAAAACGGCATTTAACCAAAGTTTTACAAAAACTTGTCTCCAAAAGTCACAAATCGACTCTCGAAGCCTCGAGTGCGAGTCCTCTCCCGATACAAACCCCACACCTGAAATGTTTCTCATATAGAGTGAATCAACGCCTAGTAGAAAATTTCCTACACAGGCTACTCCCAAACCTAAATGCATATGAAATGTTCGCATACAACATTCACAATTCCTCAATCATTTCAATCAATAACATATATGTTTCATGTTGGAATCTACCATGTCATACCGTGAATGAAATGAAATTCACTCACGCACCACAACTTGAGCCTTCACCAGCTCTCTCCACATTATGCAATGCAAGTGTAAAACATTCATCTTTGATGAAATACATCCAAAGATCATTTTAAAAACAAACTTATATGTTCACAAAAACCAATTCATTTCTGGATGTTTTCCATCAAATGAAAACTTTATTTAACCAAAACCATGTGTCTTTATTTGGATAGTGGACTTTTGGTGTTGCACCGCCGGCTCCACACACCGATACACTTTTTTGAACTTACACCGTCGGCATTGTATAAACCAATAGTTGGGCCTTGCACCTGAGGGACGGATCTATCCCTTCTTGCTATACCCGACACAAGCTTTCATGTATGCAACCGTGCGACTCAGTAGGATATTTAACCCCACTTTCTCGAGCCCACCCATCAAAACACCAAATGTGGTTATTGAACCAACCATGCACTCACACACCCGTAGTCATGGTCATGGATGTATTTTCCCGTGCAAATGTAATGTGATACATNACCGTGCGACTCAGTAGGATATTTAACCCCACTTTCTCGAGCCCACTCATCAAAACACCAAATGTGGTTATTGAACCAACTATGCACTCACACACCCGTACTCATGGTCATGGATGTATTCTCCCGTGCAAATGCAATGTGATACACCATTGCATACCAACATCATGCTCAAATGTAGTGTATGCCAAATGAGCTATCTAACCAATTTCAACCCACAACATGACAATTTATATCAATTGGATATAATCACCACCAATCAACATGAGGTTAGCATATTAACAACATATCTTTACTCATGTTTTCTCAACAAAATTCATGGCATGTTATGCAAACTCATACCACAACAACTAAATTCCACATAGGCATTTAGCTAGACACCTCCAAAGCAAATAATTCATGTTATCACATAAATCAATCCAAGTCATTCACAAGGTACAATGACAACATTTATCAAATTACCCCAACTTCACAAGTGAATCCTCTATACTAAAAGTAACTAGGAACTTGCCTGGACCAATTCCATATCCTTTTGTCCACATATCCATAACTTAGTTAAGAACCTAGGTTCATGTTTTCCCCGTACCATTTCATATGACATCTAGGTAAGAAAATAAGCCAAGGTAGGAGAAACCATATCTCTTGGAGCGTAAAAGAAAAGGAGAAAGCTCAAGGACACCTCCCAAGCTCCAAAACCTTTGATTTCCCCAAAGTCACCTCTTGGATCTTCAGTGAAATCCCTCGTTCTTGGTACGTACGCGTAGCCCTCATCGCGTAGACCAATTTTAATCCTTGGATCAATCAATTCCGACCGACGAAACTTCTTGAATCGAAGAAGAAAGTNATACGTTTTTTATTATCTTAAAAATGAAATGGTTAAACATTTTGATGAAAAATAACATATATGTATGTAGTCATAATATTATTTTTATAAATGAGATGAGTAATATTATATTGATAAAGTTTTTGAATATTTGCTAAAACTTATAATAATGAACAGGTTTTTTAAAAATAATATAATCAATCAAAAATTTTATAAAAATTGACTATTTATAAATAGAGAATAGATAATTAAAAAATTAATTTGATTAAGATTCTACTTATAAATTATTGAATAAAATAACAATAATTATCAATACATCAATTATATTGGAATCTTATNTCACCCAATCGTCTCGAAAAATGTGTAAAATTTAACTATCTCCGAATTCGACGAAATTTGACATAATAGCTCAATTTTGCGATACGAACCTAACGGTGAAGTCCATTGCTTCATTCAAGCTCTATAGAAATATGTATTTTAATCCCGCATAATTATAGCAAATTACTGTTCTGCCCTTTGTCGGAAAAAGTTTAAATTTCCTCGGGTTTTGTCCTTCTTCTTGGCAAACAACACCGGAGCGCCCCAAGGTGAAGTGT